AAAAATGAACAGTGATAGTATACTCACAAACAGAACCGATAAATCTTCTCATAAACCATGGATAGTGAAAAAATTAGAAGAACTTAATCCATCATTAGTATTAGAAAATAATGCAAGTGTTGCGAGAGACCATTTGGGTGAATATAAAAAATAAATATTAATTATCATTCATTAAATGTTTTCAAGACTTTCAAAACTCATTCTAACTTTTATTTTTTGGACCTTTAAGCCAACGAAAGAACTTTTCTTGCGTGGCTTCGAACATCCCTTTCGTTCATAAGCATTGGGATAGGTGAGTTGACATATATTTATATATATATATTTACGTTTTATAGTATATCATTATTACTATTATTATTACCATCATTATTACAATTATTATTGCCCATTATTATTATTAAAAAATTTTTCTAACGTCAATATTATATATATATTTTTTTTCAAAACGATATCAGCGATAACCCAATTATTTAGGTTAACAGGAGGATCAACATCCAATCCTCATAAAGATGATAAAGCTGGTAAAGGACTAGGAATAGCTTTTATAGTTCTTGGAATTGTCTTTCTTGGTTTTGGTCTCTTTAGATATTTTAATTCTCAACAACTTATGACAAAAGGTAGTTTTCCTGCCAGTAGAGGTAGTGTTATATTAGGGTCCGTGTTAACAATCTTTACACTAGGTGGTTGTTTCGTGGTTATATTGGTTATAGATAAATGAGATAATAAATAATATAAATGATATAAATGAGATCATGTAAATGGAGAACGTGAACAGGAATGTCTTGTTCTCGGTAGATACAATCACGTGCCATTTAACAATTACCTAATTTTAAAATCATGTGAATGATTCTAGAGAGTTCTAGTTATACTTAAGGCAGGCTTATAAATAAACTATCTTTATACAATCTGAGTAAAATAATTCTTGAATTTTTTAAATTTGCTAAAATGCCGTATTTTCAATCTCAATATTCTAGTTTAAGAGATTTCTCGCCCTTTGATGCTTTTAAGAATGTGCAAGACATAAGCAAGCCTGTTCAACAACACTTGCTTAAGGTCTACCTAACTCTTAGTACTGTTTGTTTGACTAGTGCGGCCGGAGCTTACGCTCATACCCACGATTTGTTCTTGTTTAATGTATGTTTTACACTGATCTCTTAAATTTTGTTAGTAGATTGGTTAACGACGGGTTAATAAAATTTATTAAACAACTTTAGGGCGGTCTCTTGTCCTTATTGTTAGGTTTTGCATCGTTGATAGGCATTATGTCTACACCAGACACCCCGAATAACAAAACTTTACGTTACGCTTTATTATACGTATGTCATGTTTTTTAAATTATTAAAAATTGTAATGTCATATATCATATTAATTAGATTGTATTGTCATTGACTAATCTCGAACTTTTATTTTTAGAATTTTGCATTCATGGAAGGTCTTTCAATTGGGCCTCTTATCGAACTTACACTTATGGTTTCCTATAGGTAACTTTTGTTTTTATTATTTCACATTGACCTTTTTTGTTGACTATTGTTGACCATCTTTTTGATTTATTTTATAGTTACCAGATTATAATCAATGCCTGCATCTTGACCTTCTTAATCTTTGGATCCTTCACGTTAGGCGCTCTTTTGAGTAACAAGAGAACCTATATATATCTTGGAGGAATATTGGGTTCTGCGATTTCAATGTTACTTTGGATGTCATTCATTAATGCGTTCGTTGGTTCCGTGGCTTTGTTTTCTGCAGAACTTTACATAGGATTGGGAGTGTTTTGTTTATATGGTAATTACTAGTATCGATTTACATTTTTATCAATTTTATCAATTTTATTATTTATTTTGTATTTTTAATTTTTTTCTTTGTAGTTATTTATGATACTCAACTCATCATTTATCGTGCTACTCAATATCATTCTCGTGATGTTGTAAGCCATACGCTTGATTTGTTCATTGACCTTATCGGCATATTCACTAGATTGGTTGTTTTGATGACTGATTCTGAAAGAAAATCAGACAATAGGAGACGTAAGAATAGACGAGCTGAATATGTTGGACTCTAACCTGAATCTTTAGTTATGTTTATATGTTAATTATCGCAACGGACTTGCAATAAGCATCATAGTTTAATAGGATTAATTTTGCGTCGAACACATTCGACTTTTTTCATCGTTAAAATTGTTGACAGTTATATATATTGCTTAATTCTAGTTATAATGCGTTGTATATCAATTGCACAAGTTTTATTAAATGTAATTATAATTGCTTTTAATTAATAAAGTTATCTTTTAATTAAACAAAAATTACTTAAACGAAATCAAATTAACTTTATATATTATAAAGCTCACGTTTGGTTATACAACAAATTTTTTTTTATTTAATCTAAAAAAAAGTATATATATATAAACAACAAAAAACCAGTTAAACCTTGCTAAAATAACGAGATAGTTTAAAAAGTTTTTTTTTTTTTTTTTACAAAAAAGATTTAAACAAATGAAAAAAAGGAAAATACTTTTTAGAATTTTTTTTTCTTTTTTTTTTTAAAAAAAAAAAAATTGTTAAAAAAAAACGAGTATATAAACAAAAGGAAATGCAAAATAATTATCCCACCCAATTTTTTTTTGATTTTTTTTTAAACAATAATACAGAAATGTTTAAGAATAGTTTTTGGATTTTTTTTTTTTTACTACTTACAAAAGAAAAAAGAAAAAATGAAATCTATGCAATTTAAACAAGAAAATAAATGTCCCAAGAAAAAAAGACAAGAAAATAAATGTCCCAAGAAAAAAAAGAAAAAATAAAGTGTCCCAAGAAAAAAAGAAAAAATAAAGTGTCCCAAGAAAAAAGAAATGTCAAAAGAAAAAAAAAAAAGAAATGTCAAAAAAAAAAAGGAAATGTCACAAAAGAAAAAAAAAAAAAAAAGAAATGTCACAAGAGAAAGAAAAAAGAAATGTCACAAAAATGTATAATGAAAAGACAATAATGATAAACGAAAATTTTTTTTTAAAAAAAAAATTCTAGCCTGCTAAGTTCTCTCCGAAACACCAATCTCTTAATATTGTGATTTCATAAGTCCACAAATCCAATGATACCCTATTTAAGTCAATAATTCATAACAGGATCTAAATCAACAATTCATAACAGGATTTTTAACCAGTTTCACAAGATGAAATTGATTAGGTGGAGGCAAAGCAGGAATATACCTTGGAGGAGGAGGGATATGTACAAATTGACCATGATTATTACCACCATGAATAACACCATGTCGTGGAGTTGTTATTGGAATTAAAATTTGTTGAACTTTTTGATGAATACCGTTTCCATTTGAAGGAGTACAAACTTGTACAGGAATAAACATTTGATTAAATTCATTTCCACGTCTTTGGTGATATTGTTGTCTTTGTTGATAATGGTTTGGTTGTCTTCTTTTGTGCGAATATTGATGGTTTTGTTGATTTTGAGGGTATTTATGGTATTTCTTGTTACCATTACCATTGTAATTGTAATTATTATTATTATTATTATTATTACTATTATTATTATAATTATTATTATTATTATTATTATTATTATTATTATAATATTCATTTACAAAATCATTTTTGACACCGTTATTATAATAATCATTTACAAAATTGTTTTTTGAAGAAATACGTCTACGTGGTGGTTGTTGAGGTCTAACCACAACTTTAGATAAATTTTGAGGTGGGTGAACCGGAACAAAAGTTGGTGGCATTGGTGTATAAGGTGGAGGTGGTGAGATCGGTGGAGAAATCGGTGAGATCGGTCGATGAACATTATCAACTCCATCGGATGTAATAGAGAAACGTTGTTTTGATAATAAAATTTTTTCATAAAAAGCCATTTTACGTTCGATAAAAGTATTAATTAAGACTAATTTACGTAAATGATTATTAGTGTCCTTTCGAATGTTTGAATTATTGGTTGATTGATTGCTACCTATGGACTTTATTTTGATGATTGAAAGTTTATAAATATAAGTGAGATCGATTGCGGAAGTTGAAGTAGCCATCTTTTTTTTTTTTTTTTTTTTTTTGATACAAAGAATGAGTATTAAAAAAAAGAAATTAACAAAGATGAGAAAAAATATGCCGAAAAAACAAAAATGGAATATATAATAAAACAAAGCCGGCTTTGTCAAGTTCCGTTGCGAAAATATGGAAAATATGGAAAATATGGAAGATATGGAAAATACGGTAAATATGGAAAATATGTAAAGATTAATATTGAAAATTGTGCAGGATGAAATTTTTTTTTTACTTTTTGCTATTATCTAACAAGAACCAGTGAAAAATTATATATATATAATATGGTTTTTTCGTGAAAAAAGAATTTTTTACAGAGGTCGTGAAAGGAAAAAAAATGAAAAGATGAAAGAAAAGAAAAATATATTAAACGATTAAATGAATATAATGTCCTTTAAAAAAAAAAAAAAAAAGAAAAAAAAAAGATGAGAATTCCTTCAAAAGGGAAAAGGAATAAAAGGAATGATATTTATACGGAGAACAAGGACCCAAACAAAGGTCACAAAGTACTCCTGTGTGGTATGTACTATGTAATGCGAGTGGATAAGCCACAACAACCACAATATCACAAACTCGATTTCTTTGTGATCGCCCAATTTGATAATTATTTCAAGGTTATGCGTATGGCATCATTGTTCGTTTGTTTATCGTGTGTTTATTAAATAATATATTAATTGCTCATGGAAATACTATTTCTTAGCTTTTAATAGTACGCAGTAGTTGATGAGATCACAAAGGATGTAACGTGATGCTAATGTTAAGTATTATCCTAACGAACACAAATGGAATAAATGTACCTTGTGCAAAGGAGACCATGTAAACAAAATGTAAGTCCGGGAAACACTAATTCTTTCATTGCATCTTTTTTTTATTATCCTATTTAGAACAATTTTTATTAAATTATTCAAAGGGAATGATAAATGTAGGAGATTAAAAAAACTTGGTGATAATTTTGGTGATCTGGCTGAGTCCGATTTCCAATCGATCATCGCTTTTATCACCTTTACATGAAATTTACCGTTGGGAAAGTTGTAAAGATAATCCATACAATTTAACTCGGCCATACAATATAAACAAACAGATCTTTTTAGAACACCTAGAAAGAAATTTTAATATTAAAAAATTATTATATGTAACAGGAACTTTACGAAACAAGGGAGAGTCAAACATGTGTATAAGTTTAAAAGGCTTAATAAGTAGAAAAATTGGATCACATACACTAACCTTTGACATCATAAAATAGTAAATATGGAATTTGAATTTATTTACGCCTTGTACGTAGCTTATATGAAAATCTATGAAACCAACAGGGTGAATTTTCATTTGATCATCGAATGCAATTCAACATTGGTTATCCTTTTCCGGTTTAAAAAGTCCGATTTTGTAGGTTTCAGTAAATCCTTGCACTGATGCAGAAATATGAACCCTGTAAAACCGGTTAGTATTCATGATAATAATCATGATTTCGGAATTCTAACCCTTTTAGATATTTGATATCAAAAAATAATCTAAATAAGTATGAATATATCCTTCTTTGCTCTTTACTGATGTCATTCGAATTCTTATTGTTGATTATCAAAATTATTGCTATGTTCCGTTACTCATCATTTCAGTGAATTTTTCGTAGTAGGATTTAACGATGATACTTCTAAATCTTTATGATAAGGCTTAGTTCAAAGCCTAAATTCTGCTCTTTCTTCAATGTCGATCTGTCGCTTAGCTTTACGAAAATTCTATATTCTAAAGATTCTAAAGCAATCAAATTCTTAAATAAATCAAGCTATGTAACACATACGATAATCAGTCAAAAAAAAAAGGTTTTCATACAATGGTCTGAAAAAGAAATGACAAACCTAATCATTGTTTTATAATTTTATTTTAATATTTTAATATGGGTTAATAATGAACTTTTTAGGTAATTTGTATTTGTATTTCGATTTGATGATATCGATCTTTCTCCAAAAATCTCACATAATTTGTAATCCATTACCCTCGCTAGAGCATAAGCATGCAATTATAAAGATCTAATTTTAATACGTACGTACGTACATATGTACCTGCGTACTTACATACGTATGTACTTATGTAGACCCTACCTAAAACATTTTAGCAAGATATATTATTTGATTTGCTAAAGATATACCCGTTCAACTGTGCCAGTTTAAACTAACAAGATATCTTTTATACTATTCGATATTTGATATAATATGGATAGTGTTAGGATATGATGGGTATGATGGATATGATGGATATGATGGATGGATATGATGGATATGATGGATATGATGGATATGATAATGTTAGGATATAAATCAAATTTTTAAACCTCAAATCGAAATTATCCCCTAGATACAACTCAGTACAACTCGGTATAACTCGTACAATCCATGGGGGTAAGAACATTATAGATATCAAGATTGTGTACGATAATATATCTATATATAACGATAAGTTAGATTTCATTTCTATATTAGTACTATTTAAAAATCATATGGAATAAGTCCAAGACTTCCACGTGATATGTTATTGATATGATATGTTATTGATATGTTGTTGATATGTTATTGATATGTTATTGATATGTTATTGATATGTTATTTATGTTATTGATATGTATTGATATGTTATTACTGCATTAACTACATTTACTGTATTAAATTAATCAACCCTTTGATCACTCTATTATGTATATTGTTAGTCCGTTGCATGCTGTTTGTCGCAATTGTTAACGGCCACTGGTGTGTGATTGTAATCTTAAATAGAATAGTCATAAGTCTTTTTGTTTACTCGGTAATTGTTAATAATCTATATATATATATATGTGTGTGTGTGTACAAGCGCGAATTGGTTTTTCCATGCAAGTATTGTCTTCAACTCTCTCAATTCTTTTATTTAATTCTTTTATTCAATTCTTTTATTCTTAAAAATTTCCTGCTGTCTCCTTGATTTCCTTGATTAATGCGTGTTTAAAGAATCTTTCAAAAGTCTTCCTCAATTCTTATGTGATACGTTTAGATTGTGTACCATATGCAAATCATATCGTTATTTCCTTTTCTGGTGATAAATATCTGTAACACGACACATAAATACCAATACCAAGATACTATTCCGGGATCAACGTAAACAAATGTGTGATTCGGACAAACAACATCTCTCTTCTGATCCAAGAATAATCTTAAATGTCGGCGGTATCAGAGTAATATATATGATCACGTGCTCCTTCTTGATTTCCTATCCCAGTTCCTAAAAATTTCTAAAAAGAAAAAATTTGATTTTATATTATTAGTACGAAACGTATAGATCAACTCTCCTAGCATATCCTCAAACTCTTCTCGGTACAATGTTTCAACCACGTAATGACTCCTTACTTCAACCAACCAATAATGGCCTCCATAATCATAAGAATGAATATTTTTTTGACAGAAATGGCTATGCATTTCGTTATATTTTAGAATTCTATCGTACTGGTAAAATTCTTTGGCCAAAATCCATCAACCATTTGCGCGCTCCCGTTTCTCAAAATTCCTTGAAACCTTCCATTACGTCTTCTATGACCATAGATAATGACAAGATGGATTGTTCGGCTCATCAGTATACGATCCCAACCGCTACTGATACTTTGGCAAAAATCATGCCTGTGTCGTTACACGAACTTCATCGTGAACTAGAATTCTTTCAAATTCCTTCTTCCCTCTCTCTTTCCTCTCCCGCTTCTCAATCTTCAATCTCATATAACATAGCCGCTCAAATTCTTGATGACTTTATTTATATTATAGAATCTTTAATTTGTGAATCAATTGAATCATTTTCTCAAAAAATTACTATTAAATTTTATGAGGATTTTCGGCCTGTTGAGGTTTTTATGGCTAGATATCGAAAAGATGATGCATTAAAAGGGTTTGAAGGTTGTGGTTGGGAAATTTTGGATTTATTTGAACAAAAAATATCTAAAAGATTGAAAATTATGTTTCCAGGATTGATTACTTATGTTGGTTATGTTAATTCTAATGGTAGTGTTAGTAGTGGTTATGGTAATAATCTAAGTTTTACTTTAGGAAATACTTTTCCACAAAATTTTAATGGGAAAAAAGATGTTAAAGCTAAAGTCTATAGATTATGCTCATTTTTTGATCACTCTATTATGTATATTGTTAGTCCGTTGCATGCTGTTTGTCGCAATTGTTAACGGCCACTGGTGTGTGA